GGTTTTTATGTCTTCAAGACATGCCTGTAATCTATGTAATGGGTTAGCTTCATCTGGATTTATAGACAGATATAGCTGGGTATCATCAGCATAACAGTGGAAATTAATCCCATGCTGTCTAATAATTCTACCAATTGGGAGCATGTATAAAGTAAAGAGAATTGGTCCTAGCACTGATCCCTGTGGTACTCCACAGGTAACCTTTGAGCGTGTTGAAGATCTATCATTAACATGAACAAACTGAATTCGATCAGATAGATAAGATTTAAACCAGTCTAGTGCTGTTCCTTTAATTCCAACAAAATATTCAAGTCTTTCTAAAAGAATATTATGGTCAACTGTATCAAATGCAGCACTAAGATCCAACAGGATGAGCACAGATACAAGTCCATTATCTGAGGCCATGAGAATATCATTAGTGACTTTCACCAGAGCTGTTTCAGTGCTATGATGAGCTCTAAAGCCAGACTGAAACTCTTCAAAAAGTTCATTATGGTGGAAGTGATCGCAAACTTGTTTGGCAACTACTTTCTCAAGAATTTTGGATAAGAAAGGAAGATTGGATATAGGTCTATAATTGACCAAGTCATCTGGGTCAAGAGACGGTTTCTTAAGCAGAGGTTTAATTACAGCAATCTTAAAAGCTTTAGGTACATATCCCTGTAACAGAGATAGATTAATCACATCTAAAATGGAGGAGGAGATCAAAGGGAATACCTCCTTAAATAACCTGGTTGGAACTGGATCTAACATACAAGTTGAAGGCTTAGATGAAGACAATAATTTTGCTAATTCAGAGAGTTCAACTGGATCAAAGCAGTCTAAACCCGGTTCAGATTCCATGACTACCTCAGGTACAATCGCGGATAGAGGAGTGCTTATGATCTTATTTTTAATAAGATCAATCTTATTTATAAAGAATCCCATAAAATCATTGCTGCTAAGAGCAGGTGGAATGGACGGTTCAACAGAGCTATGGCTCTGGGTGAGTTTGGCAACTGTATTAAAAAGAAATCTAGGATTATTCTTATTCTCCGCTATTAATGAGGAGAAGTATGCTGCTCTTGCTTTACAAAGGGTCCTCTTATACAACAGTAAACCATTTTTCCAGACTAGGAAGGACTCTCGCAGGCCTGTGGAGCGATATTTTCTCTCCAGTTTCCTAGCATTTTGCTTCAAAGTACGCAGCTCTGCATTAAACCAAGGAGCAAGCTTTCTATTTTTAACGGTTTTCATTTTCAAAGGAGCTGCGTTGTCTAAGGCAATACGCAGAGAACTAGCAACCCCCTTAAGTGTTGTGTTTGATAACAAGACAACAGTTTCAATGATTCAATAGTTATTTGATGTGTCATTTTCTGCCCGGAGATATGGCAAACAATGGAATAGGTGTTGAAGAATAAATATTTTAAGTGTTTTTTCTATGGGGTTGTAACGTAGACATCACACTATGTGAAAGCTACAAATGACGGATTCAAAATAAACTTTATTATCTCTGCTCAATCATTAATCTTCGAAAAGGAGAATTTTTTTGTCACAATTAGAAAGGTACACACTACAATTATTTTTATTGTTAGAACAGCTGAAGTTTATTCTGAGACCTTATACTTAGTATAAGAAGCAGCATGCTTTCATCCTGGTTCAACTTCCTGGGAGCCAGACAAAAAAGAAAAAAAAAAGCTTAGAGAATCATCTAAAACACAAGTATACAGTAAATTCCACAGTGTTAAATATGCAGTGTCAAAGTACTTTGACTCTTTTAGAGTTATTACAACAACTGGAGTAAAATACACATTACGTAGAGTTTTAATTTAACACTAATTCTGAATTCAATTCAATTCAATTCAGTTTATTTATATAGCGCCAAATTCACAACACATGTCATCCCAAGGCACTTTACAGTTCAACCAGATCATACAGTCAAATTGATACAAAGTTTTCTATCTAAGGAAAACCAGTTGATTGCATTGACTCGTTGACTCAAATATAATCCCTCACACTAAGCATGCTTGTAGCGACAGTGGAGAGGAAAAACTCCCTTTTAACAGGAAGAAACCTCCAGCAGAACCAGGCTCAGTGTGAGCGGCCATCTGTCGAGGCCGACTGGGGTTCAAGGAGACAGAAGCAGAGATACAAAAAGCAGCTGTAAAAGGTGGCGCCGTCTAGGAAACACACAGCCAGGCAGACGAGCTCCGAGCCAGCTCCCATGCCAGAGGACGAAGAGAGCGCATCCACTCAGTCACGGTCAGAGAAACAGGACCACACTGGAAAACAGGCCGGTCTCCAACATGAATGGGACCAAATGCACTCTTAAAGTGTTACTTTAATACTGGAAAATTTACTGTGTAGTGACTTTAAAGTAGCTGAACCTGTGGATTGCTTAGAACATCATGCATGTTCAACGCTGAGCATTTTGATATGCTTCAGCCTTATTCCAAATGGTGTCAAATTAATCTATTTTTTGAAAATTCGGAACAGTTTACAACATTATAAAAATCTGAGAGCACATTTTTTTTTATGTTTGCTATTTTATTCAAACATAGAAAAGTGAAAAAGAGATATCAAGTATTTGGAGAGTATTAAGTGTTTACTTAATACTTGGTTAAACTAACTTTGGTAGCATTGCTGCATTCATCTAAACCTCAATCCTGACTAGTTAACCAGAGCCGGCTGCTGAAAAACGCCCCTATAATATGATGCTGCAACATCTATGTTCCAGAGTAGGGATGGCCTTATCTTACCTTACCTTACCCTACTCTACTCAACCTTACCTTAACCTTTCATCCTCCTTTCCTTTCCTTTCCTTTCCTTTCCTTTCCTTTCCTTTCCTTTCCTTTCCTTTCCTTGCCTTGCTTTGCCCTGCCCTTTCCTGTCCTCATTGTTAATATTTAATGGAGTAATATTTAGAATATTACAGTAGCTTTTGTTTGATATTAAAGAGGTCAACGTTTTCCTGTAGTTTTTCACCAGATTTGCACACCCTGCAGGAGGGATTTTGACCCAGTCTACAAGGTGAGACATGACTGTCAATCTGCCTGGGAGATTGACAGTCATGTTTAGCTTCTTCCATTTTACTTATCATTGCTCCAACAGTGGACCTTTTTTCAGCAAGCTGCTTGGTAAGCTCCCCACAGCCCTTTCCAGTCTTGTGGAGATGTACAATTTTTCTCCAGTGTGTTTGAACACCTTTTTGGTCTTTGCCATGTTAGTAGTTGGATTCTTACGGATTGTATGGGGTGGACAGGTGTCTTTATGCAGCAAACAACCTCAAACAGGTGTACCTAATTTAGGATGATAAATCAAGTAGAGGTGTGGACCATTGTGGACTTATCATTGTTGAAGAAGAGGGAAAAAGGAAATTTTTCAGAATCTTGCTCAGTCCAATCATATATAGAAAATAAATATTTTGGTTATGTTCAAGTGTATACAGATGCATCTAAAAGCCTAAGTAACAACAATGGGGTGTCATTTATCATCCCAGAATTTAATATTAAAAAATGTAAAAGGATTTCTGATGACGTATCAGTGTTTACAGGGGAAATGATGGGAATTATTTTGGCTTTGAGTTGGATTGAAGATGTTCGTCCTCTAAGAAGTTTAATTTGCTCTGATTCAAGCTCATCATTATATTCAATTAAAAATAATCATTCCAATAGTAGACCAGACCTTCTATTGGAGATTCAGTTAATACTTTATAGAATTCAGACCATGGGATTAATTGTCATTTTTACATGGGTTCCATCTCATATAGGAGTAATAGGAAATGAATTGGCAGACAGATATGCAAAACAAGCTTCAAAAAACAGTTGCATTGAGATACTGATTCCATTTAGTAAAGAGGAGATAAAATCTATTATAAAACAAAAGGTTAAGGAAAGATGGCAGAAGCAGTGGGAGAAGGAAAAAACTGGTAGATGGCTTTATAGCATTCAAAGGAAAGTTGGGGTAATGAGGGGAACAGGAAGAAGTAGAAAAGAAGATAATATCATATCCAGGTTACGTTTTGGTCATACAGGTTTAAACAGTACATTATTTATAATGGGAAGACATCCATCAGGAAATTGTGAATTTTGTTTTCAAGAAGAGACAGTAGAACATGTTTTGTTGTTTTGTCCAAAGTACTCTGAGGAGAGAAGGAAATTAGAATATCGACTTCTAAAGAATAAGTTACAATTAAAAATATCAGATATGTTGGGATATTGCTCCTCTTCTGAATATTTACGTCATTTATTAAGATTTCTTAAGAAAACTAAACTGATAGAAAGGATTTAGTTTTTTTTTTTTTTGTGTCCTGATCCACACTCCTTACCAGTAGGTGGCGGTAATGCACACCAATAAGTTGCTTGTCAACCGCCATTAAACAAGAAGAAAGAAAGAAAGAAAGAAAGAAAGAGGTGTGGACATTTTGAAGGCAGACTAACAGGTCTTGGAGGTTCAGAATTGTAGCTGATAGAAAGTTGTTCAAATTTGTATTTGCAGCTGTATTATACAAATAAATAGTAAAAAAAACCACATCATATTATGTCTCTCAGACTGGACATTACAATGATAATTTCAGACTCCTCAATGATTTCTTTGTGGGAGAACTTTCAAAATAGCAGGGAGTTCATATAGTTATTTTCCTCACTGTATTTAAAAACAACAAGTTGAAATCTGTACACTTAAATGTAACTCTCAGTTTAAACCTTTTACAGGCATATTTTACGTATAAAATAGTTATCCTAAATTGGGGATTTAGTATTGTCTTTTAAATGGAGATGTTCCTCAACAAAATACACAATTATACACAGTTCAGGAGTTTATTTTTAAATCAGCGGAAAATGTTAAAGAAATGGGATTTTTAAACCAAAAAAAGAATGCCCCCCCCCCCCAAAAAAAAAAAAAACAAACAAAAAAACACATACATACGGGTCTTACAGGGTTTGTTTGCATTTTTTTCAACCAATGGGCGTCGGTTTTCCGCGCCTGCGCACTGTTCTTTTTTCTTCAAACGTTCAAACTGTCCAATCAGCGAGAAGTATTGGAACACTAGCGGTAGTTTTAAAGTCAGATATATACATGCAGAGAATTTAACGTCTGGAACTAAATATATAACGTTTTGGCATAATCAAAAGAAGAAAGTAAACGTAAAAAAAATGGAAGAGGTTGATTCGGTACAGCCTCTTTCCAGAAAAGGTAAGGGCGTTTAATTCGAGTTAACGACTAATATGTTTTTGTGTTTCGGCTTGTTGTTGCTATTTAGACAATGGATGACTTCGCGGCACACTAGCTGCAAGTGTTTGTTTCTGTTTTGTTTAAAAAAGTTCCTTTATAGTTTTGGCGGCGATATAAAAAAAATTGTGTTTTAATAAAGTAATAGGGAGAGTGGGACGATGCTAAATCTAGCTACCGAGTGCTAGCATGGCTACATTAGCATATCCAGATTGGTCAAACTAGACGTTGGTTATCTTATACCTGATGAATGTAAAACATGTTTGTTTGTTACACATCCTTAAATCAGTTTATGGGAACAGAACAAAAAGGCAAATGCACTTCAGGTGATTTATTTATTTATTCTTAATCAGAATCAGTCCATATTGATATCCACAGTAAACAGAACTGTTTTCAAAGACACTTTAGAAATAAAGGTATCCAGATCGTACAAAGAAATATATTTTTTTTGCATTCATTTGTAGAATAAAAAAATTAAATACTCTGTAAATAAGATATATATATATATATATATATATATATATATATATATATATATATATATATATATATATATATATATATTTTTTTTTTTTTTTTAAATAAGAATATTGATGCAGCACTAAAAATAAAATCCCCCCAATTAAGTAAATTTACTTTGAATAATTGGGATTTTTTTTTTCCTATAAGAAATAGTCTTATGACATGGTAATTTTAATGAGTTGTTACAATAAATAAACCTGCTTGAATACTGACTTTTACATGCTAAGAGTTAAACTATTGATCTACAGTGGAAATGTTAAGATTTAAACTGTATTTATTTAGACAGGAAATGTTTAGTTTCATCATTCTTTATCTCTCTAGTAATAGAAAAAAAGCTGTGCAAAAATAAACTTAAGTATTATGTGTTGCATCTATCTACTCTTACAAAATGATGTTAAACCTGCAGCTCAATGGTAGTACTTTTTGCTGTTATTTGTCTTATTTTGTCTTTAAACTTTTTAAGTTCTTTAAAGGAATAGTACACCCAAAACATGATTAGCCTTCATTTTCTACTCGCCTCCATGCTGAACAACACTCTGGAGTACTTTTTTGATATCTCAAATGCATCTGGAGATCTGGGAGGCTTCTTGCTGTCTGCTGACATTCAAATAATGGAGGTCCATGGCGCCCGAGACAGAAAGGTCCATAAAAGTCCACAAAAACGTGTCAATATTCCTCCATACTGCTCGTCCAATGTAATCCAAGTGTCCTGAGTGGGTAGCATCCAGAATTTACTCGAAACGAAGTCATTTAGAATGTTTTTAGAGCATAAACAGTAGTGTATAGGATTTCCTAACAGCGCCCCCATGCGCGCTCACGATTCTACGGAAGCCGGCAGACCAAACCAGCGCATTCAGCTCGGCAAAGAACTCATGCTCTTCCTCAACACTGAAGTCCTCAGACATTTTTCTTTCGTTGTTTCTTTCTTTGCACAGGTAAACAGCACATTTCTTCTTCTACGCTTGCATTATCGGCAGACCAGACGCTGAATGCGCACTTTCTTCCGGTTTGGTCTGCCGGCTTCCGTAGAATCGTGAGCGCGCATGGGGGCGCTATTAGGAAATCCTATACACTACTGTTTATGCTCTAAAAACATTCTAAATGACTTCGTTTCAAGTAAATTCTGGATGCTACCCACTCAGGACACTTGGATTACATTGGACGAGCAGTATGGAGGAATATTGACACGTTTTTGTGGACTTTTATGGACCTTTCTGTCTCGGGCGCCATGGACCTCCATTATTTGAATGTCAGCAGACAGCAAGAAGCCTCCCAGATCTCCAGATGCATTTGAGATATCAAAAAAGTACTCCAGAGTGTTGTTCAGCATGGAGGTGAGTAGAAAATGAAGGCTAATCATGTTTTGGGTGTACTATTCCTTTAATCTGTTGGCTGCTTGTCTTCGTGCAATAGATAATAATTTGTTGGAAAATGTTTAGACTCTTATTTAGATATTTTATTTATACTGAGTGTAGTAAATAGACTCAGATTAGTTTATATATCAATAGTATAATATTGATGACTTACAGGGTGTGTAATGATTATTGTAATTTTTTTTTTAGTTTACATTTTTCTAGTTTAGCAAATTATGATATCCTTGTCCCAGATGTTGGCCACAACCCAAGCAATGCGTTAATTTACAAACTTAATTCTCAAATGAAATCATGAGTAAAAAACACTGGATGACAGACGAATTTGTGCTCTTAACATACGTTCATTGTGAAAAATCCTTTTCTTGCATTTTTACTCTTACCGGTAATTTCTCTCCAATCAGTAATGAATTCCCTCTTCTCTTTCTTTTTGGGATCTGCACTTCCCTCCATGTTCCTATAATGTCCTTATACATTTCTTTATGTAAACTTCACTTTTGATATTATGGTAATGTGCAGAATCCCTTTTCATGCAATGACATCTTCAGCTTCCACTGCTTTCAAATGCATGGAGACCACTGCTGCAAAAATAGTTGCTTTTTTTTTTCTTGGAGTACTATTTGGCTCTATGACATATTTTGATTATTTTTTCAACTCTTGATCCCTGACTGTTGTTTTTATTTTTTTGGGGAAATTTTCCTCTATCCACCTCCACCTCCACCTTAGGCTCCAACTTAATTCCAAGGGCGTAGGTTTGATTTCAACTTTGGCAGGGACACTGTTGGCCTGATGTCATTGGTCCTATAATAAAATATGCATGCTCGTTTTTTTATGCTTGACGTGAAAATCGGGGTGTATATCGTTTAAACAGAAAAACAACATTTCTTGCTACATTTATGCAAATTTTATAAGCACTACACACACTAGATGCTGTTTATCAATGACTGACCCTTTACTGGCTCTGATGAATGAGGAAATAGGACTTTATTCCACTTTGCATTTGAAATTACCTAAGACAGTAGGTAAATCTGTGCCTATTTAACAGAATATAGTCTAAATGTGTCTGTTATATGTGGATTTATACTTTTTTTTTTTGAAGATATAGAATTGTGCAGAGGTAAACAGAGGTAAACCCCACTCTTATCTTTTAAATGTTCTCTTTGTATCATTAAAACAAAACAAAATAATAGATTCAAGGGACGCCAAATAAATGTATTGTATTTACATGAGCACTGTAAATAGAAGAGGGACTGACACTGAGCATTTAATATATTAACGTCACTCTACAAGCTCTACATCTAGGCTATAGTTACTCTGTTTAACTCATATCATGTATTTTATTTATGGCTGAAACAATTCATTGGATTAATCAATAATAGAAATATTGTAAACAAATTTAATAATCAATTGATCATTATGGAGTATCGAGACTCTAAAAGATGTCTTTAGCTCACAGAGCGACCAACTAAGAGCAAGAATTATACAAAAATTATTAAAAGAAAAAAATTCCATTTTAGATAAAACATGTTTTCGTCTGTCAATATTCCCCAATGCAGAACTCCTCTACTGCTGCGACAACGCTGTATTGTAAATTATAAACATGGTATTCACATCTAATTGTTGGATAGGGACAGGTAGGTCCGTCCAAAGTTTTGGTAGGGACTTGTCCCTATGGTCCCTTTGCAAACCTACGCCCATGCTAAATTCTCTAGAACATTCAGAAGTTTAGCTGTCTTTATGCTTTAAAACAGTAACCTTGTGTTGTGACTATTTTGTTGCCTTTATCAGGTGATACAATACTTTGGCTTTTCCGAATCTTAGGTGATATTGATCTAGATGTTACAACGGAGGGGCTTTCTTCCCGGTTATTTTACTTTTTATGAAATTTTTGAATTCTTAGTCCCTGTGTCCTTTCAGTTAATTAAAATTACACAGAGACTCATATCAATGTTTCATTTAGAAATATTGCAACTGAGAAATATGTTGATAGTTTCAGCTTACTCTTGGTTACCCTCTGTATTTGTGCAAAAATATGAGTCTAAACAATATTTACTTAAAATAATCTGTTGATACAGCACACCTATGAAGAGCAAATACAAACATCAGATAGTTCAAGTCAATGCAGGTCAAGCCCTAATCATTTATAGCATATAGTTATATTAGAACTTCGAATGTTAAGTTTCCATGTGTATTTTTTTTAGATGGCTGATTGAACATTCAGATCTTCTTGTGTCTGTTGTCATAGAGCTGCGTAAACAGAAGCTAATGGAGTACTTGGCAGCAAAAGGAAAGTTAAAACTGCCAAATTCCACAAAAGGGTAAGACTAAGGACTCCTGAAATATTGCTGCAGTTTGGTTTTAATTTAAAGGTGGTTTAATTGATGTTTTATCCTTCAGGTCATCTCTCCATGCGGACTTTGAGCAACAGAAGGCTACTAAAACCGCTCAGAAGGTATGCTGTTTAGTGCATGTGTGCCTCTGTTCAGTCAAGGCTATTAATAACAGGAATTGCAAAATGCCAAAGTTGTGTTAATAGTTTAGTAATGTGTCATTGCCAAATGACGCTGTCTGTCTGATGGAAAACGTAATAACACAATTTGCATTTAACAGGTTGCAATGGGAAAAGAAAACAAAGCTCCAACTGACAGATTAAAATGGCAGAGTTCCAGGGGTGAAACTTTTGTTCCTCAGCGCAGTCAGGACCCTCCCAGAAGGAGAGAATTTGCTCTCTCTGACAAAGTGAATGTGAGAGATGGAAAGCAAAATGTTGTAAGGCCATCATCCAATAGAGTGTCAGCACAGCCTAAAGTTAATCCCATGCTCAGAAAAACTTACACTGTGTTACCTTCTAAAGCTAACTCAACCCTCAGTAGCACCCTCAAAAAGCAGCCTGACCCAGGAACTGAAACTATAAGCAAGGTGCAGCCTAATGCACATTTTATACACGGCGCAAAGTCAAATTCCAAATCAATATTGTGCCCGGCTGGAGCTATGTCACGACCACTGGAAATGACAAATACTCGGATAAGTATCGGTCCACTCATTAAAACCAAAACGGGACTTGTTCCTGCAGTGATCCAACCAAGGAATGAGAAATCAAATTCATCAGATCCACGTGGCACAAAACAACCAAGTTTTACAGCAAAGAGAGTGCAATGCAGTATGTCATCATCAGTGTCTGTTCACCACAGGCCTGTTTTGATGCTCTCCTCAGATTCAAGACCTATGAGTAAAACGGAAGCTCAGAACAAGTCTAAACTTAAACCAGTGCCTCATAAACAAACCCAACTGGCGGTAGGACATGTGTCTGCTGCGCCATCCAAGTTCAAAGCCACAACTGTCAAACCAGAGCAGAGAGCTTTAACCGGTAAATCAGGACAGTCAACTGAGAGATATGTGAAGCAAAGATCTGAAATGAATGAAAAGAAATATGCCCAATCAGTAAAAGTTGAGGCTTCGACCGTCTCAAGGACATCAATCAAAGCCAGTTCAACATCTGTTAAGACAAAAACACAGACTGTTGTATCTAAAGGTAGGGGGCAAACTCAGATGAAAAAAGAGATGCAAAGAAACATGCAGAAAACTAGCAGAATTCTTCCAGTTCCTGCCCCTACAAAATGTACAGCTGCTGCAAGGGTTTCCCAGACGGCACCACAGCCTTCCAGGTCCATCAGTGTCATAAACCAGCCTGCAGCGATGAAGACACCAAAGGCCAAGGTTAAAGTTGTTCCCCAGACTGAAGGAAAGAAACAGAGCTCTGCTCAGAAGGAGAGAATGTAAGCAAAACGGTTTAATGTTGCTATTTGTTGCTTTGATGTTGAGTGAAATATTTAGCCGGCATTTTTTTTACCTGTTTGGTTCTCAGGAGGAAGCTCCAAGAATGGCGCGAATCAAAGGGGATTTCCTACAAGCGTCCTCCAATGCCCGTGAAACCTTCGGTCAAACGCACCGTGTCTGTGCCCCAGCCCTTCTGGGCTTCCATGAAGCTTGAAGACGATGTCCAGTCCCTCATCTCTGCAGTCGACACCTGTCTAACTGACTGCATAAAACTACTGGCTGAGGTAAATGGTAGGGTATGCATAGCATGCATTACACCCTAAAACTAGGATATCTGAAATGTAAAAGCAAGGATAACTAGACATATTTAAATATAAGGAAAGAAAGATAACTTTTTAACTGGTACTCGTCACGTCTTTCTATTGGACATTCTGTGGTTTAATTTTTTTTTTATGTAATAGCTTTGATGAAAAAGTTGCGGCTATGACCTTAAAATTCTGATCCCCATCCTCAGGGCTGCCCTCCAGAGCAGGTGAAGGACGTTGTCTCACGCCTACCAGCGGTGTCTCAGAAGTTTGCCAAATACTGGATCTTTCAGGCCCGTCTGATGGAGCGAGAGGGCAACTTGGACATACTGCCCATGTTTGAAGAGGCTGTTGGAGTTATATTGGAGGTACATCATTTAGAGAACAACTTTGCTCTCATTAAGCCTGCATTGTGTGTTAATTGCACCTTTGTTTGAACAGATAGAGGCGCCGTAACACATTATTATCAGATGGGCATGACTGTAGAAGCTGGTTTTGGGTCATCAACGGTCGTGGCCTTAAATGTCATTAGAACTTGGATGTTTTCCACTCATACATTACATAATGCGTTAGAGAATACATATTACCCCAAGGTGTCAACTGTGCATTTGCATCATGAGCTGTTTAAAGGAATAGTACACCCAAAACATGATTAGCCTTCCTTTTCTACTCACCCCCATGCTGAACAACACTCTGGAGTACTTTTTTGATATCTCAAATGCATCTGGAGATCTGGGAGGCTTCTTGCTGTCTGCTGACATTCAAATAATGGAGGTCTATGGTGACCGAGACAGAAAGGTCCATAAAAGTCCACAAAAAACGTGTCAATATTCCTCCATACTGCTCGTCCAATGTATTCCAAGTGTCCTGAGTGGGTAGCATCCAGAATTTACTCGAAACGAAGTCATTTAGAATGTTTTTAGAGCATAAACAGTAGTGTATAGGATTTCCTGAAAGCGCGCACACGCGCGCTCACGACGCTACGGAAGCCGGCAGATCAAACCAGATGAAAGTGCGCATTCAGCGTCTGCTCTGCCGATAATGCAAGCGTAGAACAAGAAATGTGCTGTTTACCTGTGCAAAGAAAGAAACAACGAAAGAAAAATATCTGAGGACTTCAGTGTTGAGGAAGAGCATGAGTTCTTTGCCGAGCTGAATGCGCTGGGGGGTGACACGGTCTCGAAGGCCTTGCTGCTGTCAAAGGTGCATTAATAAAAATAAAAAAAAGAAGAAAAGAGAGCAAAGGATCACAATGGGGAAGAGGAGGGAAAAAATATATCTCACACTTTTTTCTTAGTAGGATATGGTTTGAGACTTCAGAAAAGCCCAGCACGAGAATGAACCATTGAATGGCACAAGGATTTACATTATTCTGGGGGTTAAAGATCAACCTCTTTGTTCTCTTGTTTCCTCAGCCAGTGGATGAGCTGCGAACAGTGGTGTTTGACATTCTGAAGAGGAAGGACAAAGTCCAAGGTAATGGAGTCTCCATAAATGGAGGTTGGGAGCTAGTTGCACAGAGAGACTGGGTCTCATCTAATGAGGCGTCTCAGTTCTCATCCTCGTCAGCATTGGATAGTAGGTGAAGAAATAATCAACAGCGAATCAACCGTCTAACTAGTTCATATTTCAAAAGCACTCATTTCCAGGACAGCATGGCTGTTTCCCAGACCACTAATAAACCACTCACACTTTCTACATGTCCTCCCACTTATGTTGACAGAAACTAGACAGCAGCAGTCTCCAGCTGTTACAACATAAGGAGATGAATGTAAAGTTTCAGTTATTTTTGTACCTATTTTTCTCTGCAGGCAAATGACTAGGTTTTTATTAAACATTGAGTCATGGTAAAAGCAACAATAAACATGCTAACTTTCGCATTGTGCTGAACTTAACAACTAAACTTGAAAACACTGTCACCAGTAACTAAATGTGTAAACCCCTTAATTGCCCCACAATGGGGAAATTCACTCTGCATTGGGGTTCCATTGTGTAGTACCTGGGGAGCAGTGTGGGGTTACGGGTCTTTTGCTCAGGGAGCCAAAGTGGCAGTCTGTGGGAGTGGATTTTGAACTCACAACCTCAGGATTCCAAGCCCCCATGCCTTAACCATGCCACCCCCCAACGTTGTTTTAAGAAGGCATCTGTCACTTTTAACCCTAGTCAAGCCGGTATCAGAGTATCAGGTGAACTTCAGACAATTCTGAGGGGGAAAACAGTCTGAGTAGAGATTACAGCTTTTACTAATGAAGGAGGAAATGGGGAAATAATGGGAAAATTATAAAATATTGTGAAATTATCTCAATGCTAATGTAGCAGCAGCGATGCTGTTATTACACCTTATTTAAAGTTACTGTAAAAACAAATTATTTCAAGCAGAGACATGGCTATGGTTTGATAAACATTAATTTATTGCCAGACTCTTGACTCTGTATCTACTCTGTATGGCTCTGTACCCTAATGATTCAGGGCTATTATTTAACAAAAGTTTAGAGTAAAATTTTATTTTTTGAAAAATTTATATTTTATTTTTAGAAATTTACTCCTACTTTTAGTCTTAGGTATAAATGCAAAATAGCAAAAATCTTATGGCTAAAAATACCTCTTAGGGGCCGCCACATAGCTCAGCAGACGCTGCACATACTATGAGCTACGCAGTGTTTGTACGTGCTTTGTTCTTTTTGGGTCCATAGTTCATTGTACCTATTCCAACGTTTGTCTACGAAAATGCCTTTGTTTGCCACTCTGCCTTTGTGTCATTGGACACACCTGTGAAGTGGAAAGGGCAGCCGATGATCCATCGGACGCTGCGAGTCCATTGGATACTGTCCCGGCCTTAGAGGAACTGGGTATCAGATGTAGCTTAAGGCTGTAGCATAACACTAACTCTGAATTCATCAAACTGTAGTCACTTCCTGTTCCTAGTTTCTCTTATTGTATCTTTTAAGGGGGTTAATAGAAAGAACACTATACTGGGCAGGAAAGTATTGCTCAGTCATACAAAGGATTGTGGGAAACCATGCAGCTCCTACAGGTGCTGGTCATAAAATTAGAATATCATGAAAAAGTAGATTGATTTCAGTAATTCCATTTAAAAAGTGAAACTTGTATATTATATTCATACATTACATACAAACTCATATATTTCAGATGTTTATTTTGTTTAATTTTGATGATTACAAATGACAACAAATGAAAATCTCAAATTCATCATATCAGAAAATTAGAATATTACTGAAGACCAATAAAAACAAAGGATTTATAGAAATGTTGGCCAACTGAAAAGTATGAACATGAAAAGTATGAGCATGTACAGCACTCAGTATTTAGTTGGGCCTCCTTTGGCCTGTATTACTGCAGCAATGCGGCGTGGCATGGAGTCGATCAGTCTGTGGCACTGCTCAGGTGTTATGATAGCCCAGGTTGCTCTAATAGTGGCTTTTAGCTCTTCTGAATTGTTGGGTCTGGTGTATTGCATCTTCTTCTTCACAATACCCCATAGATTTTCTATGGGGTTAAGGTCAGGAGAGTTTGCTGGCCAATTAAGAACAGGGATACCATGGTCCTTCAACCAGGTACTGGTAGCTTTGGCACTGTGTGCAGGTGCCAAGTCCTGTTGGAAAATGAAATCTGCATCTCCAAAAAGTTGGTCAGCTGCAGGAAGCATGAAGTGCTCTAAAACTTCCTGGTATGTGGCTGCGTTGACCCTGGACCTCAGAAAACACAATGGACCAACACCAGCAGATGACATGGCACCCCAAACCATCACTGACTGTGGAAACTTTACACTGGACTTCAAGCAACGTGGATGAAGTGCCTCTCTTCTTTTCCTCCAGACTCTGGGACCTTGATTTCCAAAGGAAATGCAAAATTTACTTTCATCAGAGAACATGACTTTGGACCACTCACCAGCAGTCCAGTCCTGTTTCTCTTTAGCCCAGGCAAGACGCTTCTGACGCTGTCTGTGGTTCAAGAGTGGCTTGACACAAGGAATGCGACAGCAGAAACCCATGTCTTTCATACGTCTGTGTGTGGTGGTTCTTGAAGCACTCACTCCAGCTGCAGTCCACTCCTTGTGAATCTCCCCCACATTTTTGAATGGGTTTTGTTTCACAATCCTCTCCAGGGTGCGGTTATCTCTCTTGCTTGTACACTTTTTTCGACCACATCTTTTCCTTCCCTTCGCCTCTCTATTAATGTGCTTGGACACTGAGCTCTGTGAACAGCCAGCCTCTTTAGCGATGACCTTTTGTGTCTTGCCCTCCTTGTGCAAGGTGTCGATGGTCGTCTTTTGGACAACTGTCAAGTCAGCAGTCTTCCCCATGATTGTGTAGCCTATAGAACTAGACTGAAAGACCATTTAAAGGCTTTTGCAGGTGGTTTGAGTTAATTAGCTGATTAGAGTGTGGCACCAGGGGCCATCAATTTTGAACCTTTTCACAATATTCTAATTTTCTGATATGATGAATTTGAGATTTTCATTTGTTGTCATTTGTAATCATCAAAATTAAACAAAATAAACATCTGAAATATATGAGTTTGTATGTAATGTATGAATATAATATACAAGTTTCACTTTTTAAATGGAATTACTGAAATCAATCTACTTTTTCATGATATTCTAATTTTATGACCAGCGCCTGTATGTGGTGGAGAGAAATGTTAGGAGATATGTATGGCAAATGAACTTTAGAAAGGAAGCGTCCTGCTTCCACTTCCTACATCCTTCCTTAGTCAGCATTAGAATAGCCAGTACTATTCTGACAGCACTGGATTTATTCTCCGCATTATTTAAGAGAGCTCTAAAGGTCTATGAACCGTTAAAGAGCTGCCACTAGGGGGCTGTGATGATCCTGTAGAATAAAGTGTTTAGGAAAGATAAATGATTGGAAAATGGAGAAATCATCATTGTATTTAAGTGGATGATAAAATAAAAAAAATAGAAAAACAAAGCTTGATTAATGTGGATAATATTTTCAAAAGAGCGCAGCTCTGTTTGCACTCATCACCCCAAAAACTGGGCTCAGTGCTTCCTAGAGATCAGGGCCTGTGTGTTATTATCAGAGATAATTTGCAGAACATACATAAGGAATGTCAAATTTTAAGAAATTCAAGAAAAATAAGGCATGTAAATGCAGGGGAAAATGACTGTTTATGGTGGGACTAAAATGTTGATATATATATCATGTTACAACTTTTATTTCATAATTATGAGATAAAAATCTCTTTATTTTCATCTGTGTGGTGGAAAACGACTCCTTAAGGTTTGCTCAGTCTCTCTCGCCATGTTTCCTCTTTTAAGTGTCAGGGCAACAGTGACTAAATTAGCAAATTTTTTAAACAGAACTCAGGCACTTATTTCAAAGATTATCAAAAATGGTGAGAACAAGTCGAAACTGCTAGTTTTTGATGGATTACACAAATAAGACGGATTACGACAGACATTATGCATGAATATAATAGATAAAATGTTATGCCTGTGTAAATTGGAAGGCTTAAATTGGAAGGGAACCACTTTTGTTCAGTTTAAGACGTTTCAACACCTATCCAGGAGTCTTTGTCTATTCTGTTGGCATGCACCAGAGCGAACTCTAGTTGGAGCACTGATGTATTTAAGCAACATGGAGGTTCAACCTCCTGCACACATTTTAAGTCAGATACAAATCAAATATCCAACCCTTGTGCTTCTGGATTGTTGGAGCTATTTGTTGTCCGTAGGCTGTGATTGGTCTTGGTTGCAATTTGTCAATGTTTTATTTGATTTGTTGATAAATGTTGCTTTGTTGTTCAAGACTTGTGTAACATTTACCATGGTGTCATTTTTATCATCTAAATTGAGGAAGGCGAATTAATCTCAACATAGTCATCCGAAAAAAATACGTATCAGAGATCAATTGAAATTGTCTTTATCTGCATTTCTAGAAAAAAAGTCAACTTTACCTTTATATTAAATTCCATTCTTTAGCATTTTCTTAAAATCATTTCTGAAAGTTTGATAAAGCTGTCCTTGATCATCATCAGTGAGGACACCGTAATTGGAAGAACCCTTCTCGAAATGAAGTTAATTTTTTTGTTTTACCTTTCTCTCTGAGATGAGGAACAGAAAGATGACTTTCCATCCCCTGAAGCGTCTCCAGACGATGGCAACAACCCATTGAGGACACCTAAACCTGTCCGAATTCTTGTTGAGGGAGAGAGAGGAGACTCCTCCGTGGTCAAGTACAAGGTCACTGCAACTCCAGGGTATGTTCGATGTTTATAACCTCTACTTTGCCAGGGTTTATGGGTGCATTAGAATTGGCTTTAAGCTAAATATTTTACACAGAATTAGCACAAAGAAGTATTTGTTGAACTCTTCTGCAATTTAGAAAATGTTTATTTTCCCCAAATAAGGGGCAAATAATGTGAAACCACAGCATTTATTGATCTAGCAGTGGTTAATTGTGTGTTTTCTCTAATGAGAACTTGACAAATCATCTCTGCCAAAACTAAATGATAAAGGGCCAGCAGTCCTCCGAAAACTCAAAACCTTCACTCTAAATAATGAAAATCATTGGTAATACCTTCAATTCCACCACAATCCATAAGGAAATACTTCTCATTTGTATTATTATGTTTTGAAATATATGCCTACATCAACTGTAAATTGGTCTAAATAAGAGTAGCTTTGAACTAAATACTCTTCTTGATCATATTTGATAAAAAAACACGTCACAATGCCAGTGACCAAAGTACTACATTTTTTGTGTGAATGTAGGCTATTATATTTATTAATGTGAGTGTAGTCTACAAATGTTGCTGCTATAAATGCTATAAATTAGCATAATATTAGAATCTTAACTAGTAATACGTTCAGTGGTCATTGAATGCAACCTTGCTTTGTCTTTGACTTTGAGGAAATTGGTGCTTGAAAGCTCTTAAAATGTCCTGTAGTTTAATGTTAAAGATGTGGGAACTGTAGTGCTCATTGGGAAAGTGGACTCCTTTCTTTGTTTTACACAATGGATAATGTATAACAAAGATTCCTCAATGAGTAAAAGAACAAAACCTTAAGTGTTTTTCTTTACTTCCTCCTCAGTGGCCCATCCAGTCGGCAGAACAAACCAGTAAGAGTCAACGGGCAGGAGGTTCGCTTCTTCACCCCGGTTCGACGGTCCGTGCGGATCGAGAGAGCCTCACTCCGATACCCATCATCCCTCCAGGACCATGATGTCTGCGTCAGCTTGTGCGGCGACAGCATCTCAGAGGGAGTCAAGGAAAACAATGAAGAACAATCCAGCGAGCAAAGCAACAAACCCTTGTACTTTTACAGAGAGAACGAAGCACTTGGGGACAAAGTCTCGGTCAAGCTCATCCTTGATGACAGTTTTTAAATCTGCTTACTTTATCACATTTTAACATTCTTAACACAAAGATTGTTCTTACATTGTAAATGCTTAAATATTCAAAAGTTTTTTTTCTGCTCATCAATACAGAACTTTGCATCTGAACCTGTGAACATGTCATAAAATGTTTCTATGTTGCTAATAAGGTTTCAGATTGATCTTTTTATACTTCTATGTTTGAAGAATGGTGCATTAAAAAGCAGCTACCTAACCTTGTTGTCGAATCTGTAAATGCGCTTTTCATCACACACGGACTAAATGCAGGAGCTTGGCGGGAGGTGAAACCAAATACGTGACGCAAGTGTTTTAACATACCTGAGTTGTGATGATTCATAAGTTGCCATGTTATGCTTTTGCTCATTACTGAGATCATTTTTGTAAAAAAAATAAAAAATAATTTTTTAGCAGTTTTATAAAAACAAGAATTTTTTAAAAGAAAACATCTCACACTCAAAATCAGTTTTTCACCTATGACTTTTTCAAAGATTAGTCAGTGAAGTGAGATTTAAGAAACGTTTTGCCTCTTATTCATTTGGGACCTGCTCAACAAGTTGCATACATACTTTTTTTTTTTTTTTTTGCCTCTAGGTGTAGGAAAAATCATCTGATATTTATTTGTAAGCACCAGAGCAGAAAAAAAAAATGTTAGTGGGAAGTCTGAACAGATAATGAACTCTGCATCACTTCCTGTGTCTATAAAATAACCTTTGGCTGGCGAGACACACCAGACACACCTTTCACTTCTTCTGAGCAGCGCAAACGGAGCACTTTCTCCTAAACTATCAGACCTCTGCTTCTCATGATGGCTAAGCCTCAGGTAAGAGCAATAGTGTTTCCTGTCCATCTACTTGTAATAAATGCATCATATGTAATGTATTGCCTGAAATACTATGTGATGAGTATCAAGAAATTTGTTTTTGGAGTGAGTGGATGGGAAAGATTAATGCACAGGAATGTTTTTTTTTTTTTTTGCAGGACTCAGAGAAATTTACATAAACTCTATTAATTAGAGAAATCTTCAAAGCTTCATTTTTTGGGAAGAAAGATTGAATCCAAAAACTACTCACTAAAATCAAGATATTTCGGATTCACAGCATCGGCATAGACTCATTGGTCTACTCTAGCCTGTCCAACATGCCCTCAGTGAACATTGCTAACTGCATTTATTTCTCCCCTGTTTAGTTCCTAATACAGAAGGTTTATCTTAAGCACGGGGAGCGTTATGTTGTAATTACACTAAAAAAAGACAAAAAACAAAAAGACACAAGACTCCAACTGGAAACACGTGATGCACAGGACGGTAAGAGAAATGTCCTATGAAATACTGAGTTATGATTACTGAGTGTGAAACTTGACAGCTTGAACTATGGATGCACCTATAATACATTCTATTGCATTATATACATATATATATATATGTATATATATTAGATGAGACTTCAAACGTGCAAAGTTGGGACAAATTGTTCATAGCTGTTCTGATATTTGAGTGCTGATTTCTGATTTATCTGTTTTCAGGAACACCTGTGTATAAAATTCTTCATGAAAGTGATTCAGGAGGGAAGATTATCAAAAAAGTGACTTTTGTCTTCCGATATAAGGAAAACAAATACTATCTAAAGCAACAGGAAGGGAATACCACGGAGGTAAGCATGCACTGATGTAAACAAAGTCAACGACAGACACCTAAGAACTTAGTTGAATATCAGTCTTTTAAAATCTAAGGAAAATAAATGTGGGGGACTTTGAAAGAAGAAAATGTATCAGAATGTACGTCATATTACCAAAAGAGCACATAGAAGTGAAGCAGAGGCATGCAAACTGTATATAACAATTTTTCTAAAATAATGTGTAATGTGAATGGATACCAACTTGTGCTACAGATCCCAACATGAAATGTCCTCACTTATAAATATTCTGAGTCAATGTTTTAAGATCTATCCTATAAAGTTGTCAAGCTTATTATAGGTATATTTACAATCTGGATTCTTCAAAAAAAAATCTGCTTAAGCATCTGTTTTTGTGTAATTAATTTGTTTTTTTTTCTTTCAGCTGGCAGTGCTCAACATTGAAGGGGATTGGAAATGTACACTTCCCCCCGATGTTTGCTGGTTTCGGATGGTTCCTCTTAATGGCGGTGAAAGACATACCTTTGAACCTGTGATAGGGGCGATCCCGACACCTGAGCTGTTTAACAAAAAAGAATTCACAATGGTGATGTTTCTTTATTATTATTTCTCTTTCTTTGATTTTATTCAAACATAAGTTACTTTATTAAATGACACAGGAACTGTTGTATTACTTTAATATATTTTGAAATGCCTAAAAATGAATAATCAGAAATCACAGAGACACACATGACAAAAGATGCTGTACCAATATGCAGTTACATTGTGCTACAGATAAACCCTTATATATATATAAAGTATTTCTGATTCTGATAAATATATATATATATATATATATATATATATATATATATATATACAGTCATTCTGTTGTCTTCCACTTCATCCACCAAGTCATGGGGGCAGCAGTCTCAGCGGAGACTCCCTGACCTCTCTCTCCCCACACACCTCCTCTAGCTCTGCTGGGGGAAGCCTGAGGCATTCCCAGACCAGCCAAGGGCATAGTCTTTCCATTGTTTCCTGGGTTGCCCCCTTGATCTCCTCCTGAGGGAGGCGTCCAGCGAGCATCCAAAAAAGATTCCTGAGCCACCACAGTTGACTCCTCTCAGTGTGAAGTAGAAAGAGCTCTACTCCGTGCCTCTTCCGGATGACTGAGCTTCCCACCCTATCTCTAGAAATCCTGTCCATAAAGATTATGAACAGGACTGAAGACAAAGGACAGCCTGTCAGACTTCAACATGCAGCAGGAACAAGTCTGACTTCATGCTGCCAATGTCTTTCAAACTCTAGCTCTTATTATGGGTTTCCTATTATTATGGAGGAAACCCACCACCTCAGTCTACCCCTCCAGGGACACTCTCTCCAACCTCTGCATGATGTTGAAAAGGCATGTCAGCCATGACAGCACTACAATATCCAGAACTTTTAGCTTTCGTCTGCCGGGTCGTTCCAGCTTCCTTCTCTTCCAGCTTATGTAGCTCACTACCTAGTGCCAATCGGAGGACAGCTCCACCCTTCTCTTCACCCAAGTCCTAAAAGCCATGCACCCAAGGTCTAAAGATACAACATCAAAGTTGATCATCGACCTCTGACCTAGGGTGTCCTAGTGCCAATTTCGTAGATGGACATTCTTTTTGTTTGAACATGGTGTTCTTTATGGACAATCCATAACCTACACATTAGTTGAATAATAGAACTCAACTCAGGTCTAGAGCTGGGGGTCCCAGCTTTAATATAACTTACACCTCCTATCTATGTTAATATCATATATTAATGCCTTCCTCATATTGATTAGATACTAAGGAGGGGGATAGAGGTTTGTTTACCAGTATTTATCCTGAAAGGGATTTGTGCAGATAACATATCTACAGACAGTAAATCATCTTCTGATTTTTTATTTAACATTTATTTTAGCAGGAAGTCCCTGAAGACCCTACGAGGAAGACCTGACCAAGAAGCAGCAGTAAAGTAAGACATATAAAAACACAGGACAACATAATAAAATCAATTATAAACTAGACTCTATAACAGTTAAAATTCTCTGTGATGTAAATCACTTTATTTTCTCTAACCTTTTATATCATATGTCTTCTGCTCTGCAGGAATTGAAAACCAATTAGGCTTTCCATCACCATGCTGAAGAACTCCCTGCTTGATGTAAATTCTTTCCCCAACCATTACCACAGTGACATAGAGAAAAGAAGAGCCATTGACAGAGGGATCCTGGTTTTCATGATGATCTTTTGAGTCTTGATTCTCTTAGCCTTTTGATGACTGATGTTCTATGATATTAAAAGGGTTCTTGGAGGGGTTTGGTGGAAGGGTAACCTTTTTTCTACCAGTGAAGCAGATAAATGCTTTTGAAAAGCAAAAGAAAAGTGAATGGTTAACAAACCTGGCTATCAATGGTTAGTAGAAGAAAAAAAAGATGCAGTCCATTAAATGTGATTATTTTACACAGTGTATTTATGAATTCTAAACTCAGAGTAAGGATTATGGCTTCCTGCTCTTTTAATGCTTTTAATATGAATTTCCATGTTGGGTATTATTGGTTTGGAAATTAAAATCTTTTTGCAATACAGGGGGATTTTATTGTTTCCTGAAGACACAAATGTGAATGTAAATATATTTATAATAAAATGATGATGATCATAAAGTCATGTCTGCTGTATTTACATGTTTTATAATGTTGTTTTTTTTTGTTGAATAGATCCTTTTTTTTTTTGAAGAGTTTCCCCCAAAGAAAACAGGTTAAAAATGATCAAGGTTTTTTCTGTGAATCTGACTAGATTTGAACCATTGTCTTGACTGGTGGACTTTATTTGTATTGGTCAGTTTCTGGGCATTGATCTGACAGATTTTCAATAGATCAGGGTTTCCTTGGATGACTGATAATTTTCACAGACAAGCAGAAAGGATCATGGCTACGGAGGATTTGCTGCAACATTTTCCTCCAGACCTCTGGACTATTCACTTCAGCACAGAACTTTCTCTTTGACGGAAATCTTTATACATAGAACTTTAAATCACTATCAATGCTGGTTTTATGCATAGTTACTTAAGGGGACAGGCGGACAGGGCATCTTCATCTGTACACAATAGGCTCCTGCATATTCATTGTTATTTTTTTTTACTGTGTTGTCTTTGTGGTGTTTAGGTAAAAGCTAAGAGCTGCAATAAAAACTAATTAAAAATCTATTAATGTCTGTAATAGTCTCCTGAACTGAACAGCTAATTTGCTTTTTTGTAAATGGGGACACATATAAATATGTACTTCTTTCTGCTCTATTCATGATTTTTTTTTTCTTTTAAATGAGCTAGTCCTATGTATGATTGAATAAATGAAAAAAAAAAAAAAACTGTCCAACACCACCAAAATTCATTCCACTGTGTTTGGTCTCTGCCGTGACGTGTTGTCATGGTCCTGGCCCTGGAGGCTTGATTGCTTATTCCACCCCACTGTTTGGCTCTGCCTGTTCTCTCAACATTGCTTATCCCTTCCACCTGGTTCCAGCCCCTATATATACCTGTTTGGTTTCAAGCTTCCAGTGCCAGATTATTCTAGTTTTGCTTCGCCCCTGTCTGCTCAATTAGTCTGATCGGCTCTGGACTGTGTATTGGATGCAACTGGCTTACCGAACCTGGACTGTTTTCCTGACCACAGCTTGGATTCCCTCATTGGTACCTCATCGGCTCTGATCATCTGGTAAACAAACTTGGTTGAGGTTCGACTTCGGCTTGGATCTTATAGCGGAGGACCATCTTCTTCACCGATTCCTCTCCTCTCTCTGGGATCGGACTGAACTCTGAACCAGGTCAGTGACTTTAGCTCTTGACTGTTACCAGCCATCCATTCTTAGTCATTGACCTGAGTCTCTGTTTCCACAGAGGATCCGTTTAATCCGCCGCTGCTGATGCGCCGCCGCACGCTGCTTTTTAATAAAGTCTGTAACTCTTCCAGCTCTGTCTGAATATTGGGTCCAAGGTTTAGAGCTTCCTGACACCTGTCCAGTTTGGGGGTCACACCTGAAGTAAAACTTCTGCTGGTATACGAAGCCCCCTGACCACAAGAGGTAAACAGAAAGTATTCATTAATAAATAAGAGTAAAAAAAATAAGATATTATTCATACAAGACTGAACAACAAACACATGCTCCTTAAACCAATTTGATCCTCATAACAATAACCACACAAAAAAAGAAACGTGTACAAAAAAAACTAGAAATTTGCTCAAACGGGATTGAAGTGTAAATACAGGTGCTGGTCATAAAATTAGAATATCATGAAAAAGTAGATTGATTTCAGTAATTCCATTTAAAAAGTGAAACTTGTATATTATATTCATACATTACATACAAACTCATATATTTCAGATGTTTATTTTGTTTAATTTTGATGATTACAAATGACAACAAATGAAAATCTCAAATTCATCATATCAGAAAATTAGAATATTGTGAAAAGGTTCAAAATTGATGGCCCCTGGTGCCACACTCTAATCAGCTAATTAACTCAAACCACCTGCAAAAGCCTTTAAATGGTCTTTCAGTCTAGTTCTATAGGCTACACAATCATGGGGAAGACTGCTGACTTGACAGTTGTCCAAAAGACAACCATCGACACCTTGCACAAGGAGGGCAAGACACAAAAGGTCATCGCTAAAGAGGCTGGCTGTTCACAGAGCTCAGTGTCCAAGCACATTAATAAGAGAGGCGAAGGGAAGGAAAAGATGTGGTCGAAAAAAGTGTACAAGCAAGAGAGATAACCGCACCCTGGAGAGGATTGTGAAACAAAACCCATTCAAAAATGTGGGGGAGATTCACAAAGAGTGGACTGCAGCTGGAGTGAGTGCTTCAAGAACCACCACACACAGACGTATGAAAGACATGGGTTTCTGCTGTCGCATTCCTTGTGTCAAGCCACTCTTGAACCACAGACAGCGTCAGAAGCGTCTTGCCTGGGCTAAAGAGAAACAGGACTGGACTGCTGGTGAGTGGTCCAAAGTCATGTTCTCTGATGAAAGTAAATTTTGCATTTCCTTTGGAAATCAAGGTCCCAGAGTCTGGAGGAAAAGAAGAGAGGCACTTCATCCACGTTGCTTGAAGTCCAGTGTAAAGTTTCCACAGTCAGTGATGGTTTGGGGTGCCATGTCATCTGCTGGTGTTGGTCCATTGTGTTTTCTGAGGTCCAGGGTCAACGCAGCCACATACCAGGAAGTTTTAGAGCACTTCATGCTTCCTGCAGCTGACCAACTTTTTGGAGATGCAGATTTCATTTTCCAACAGGACTTGGCACCTGCACACAGTGCCAAAGCTACCAGTACCTGGTTGAAGGACCATGGTATCCCTGTTCTTAATTGGCCAGCAAACTCTCCTGACCTTAACCCCATAGAAAATCTATGGGGTATTGTGAAGAAGAAGATGCAATACACCAGACCCAACAATTCAGAAGAGCTAAAAGCCACTATTAGAGCAACCTGGGCTATCATAACACCTGAGCAGTGCCACAGACTGATCGACTCCATGCCACGCCGCATTGCTGCAGTAATACAGGCCAAAGGAGGCCCAACTAAATACTGAGTGCTGTACATGCTCATACTTTTCATGTTCATACTTTTCAGTTGGCCAACATTTCTATAAATCCTTTGTTTTTATTGGTCTTCAGTAATATTCTAATTTTCTGATATGATGAATTTGAGATTTTCATTTGTTGTCATTTGTAATCATCAAAATTAAACAAAATAAACATCTGAAATATATGAGTTTGTATGTAATGTATGAATATAATATACAAGTTTCACTTTTTAAATGGAATTACTGAAATCAATCTATTTTTTCATGATATTCTAATTTTATGACCAGCACCTGTATATTACAGTATTAAATAAACAATTATTAATTCTTTTCTTAAAAGCAATATTTTGTTTTTGCTATGTAGTACAATTTGTATCCCTTAAATCCTGAGGGAGGGAATGAAAGCAGAAACGTATGGAGTTCTTTATGAGTAAAAAGTGAGCTTAATGAATATAGTGGTTATTTTCAAATCCGCATCAGTACTAGACTGTAGTAAAGTTGGCAATATATTCACAGATTGGGCAATTAATAACTCGTCAGCGGAGGATTTCTTCTGCAAAACAGATGCATCTCCGCAACCACAGACAGGCAGAACTGAGCTACAACTGTGGTTTCCTCAAAATGACTCTCCTATTGCGCTGGGAGAATAACATTGGACCCTATTCAGAGCAAGCTCCTCTGCAAATGCTGCAAGTTGCAACACCATGAAAAAAATCGGAGAGAAATATTCAAAAGCTTCACCAAGGAGAGGTAGATTATAATCTAATTAATTTCATTTATATCTCATGTCTTTCAAACCACATTTATTGGATTTGAAAATAATACTTTTTTGAAGAATTTCCCAAAGCCTAAATGACAAATGGCACCTCTATTTTATTATTAGTAGTGCCACCAAACTTGTAGGATGCATAACCTCATCTGAATCATACTACAACTATTACTTATACCTCAATTTTACTTATATAATTTAAATTATCAACAACTACACTATTTTAAACTGTAGTCCCACCAAAATCACTGTATACATCATTCGCACCCTCCTGGTGATACTGCAAATGTTATATCAATTAAACACTTTTTCATATTTTTGGGTATTACTTGTGGGGATAAATAATCAATAACTCAACCATTATGAACTGTACCTTCACTAAAATCACGGTACATATCATTCACGCCCTCCTGGTGATGCTAAACAATGGAGCATAATTCCTTTTTTCGTAAAATAAAAAGCTAAATGATGTATCTATCTTTCTCAGTGAAAGAGCCATTAACAAGTGGTGCAACTAAAGACATTTGACGTTTTGTAGGATGCATATATCAAATGGACCATCAAGCTATTTTTCATTTATTCAACGATAAAAACACACTAAAAAATAAAACATTAAACAACAAAAACACACTGAGTGAAATCCAGTCACTCAAAATATTTATGAATAAATGAATAGGGCAAAAGAAACAGGTCTTGAGTATTTACAGCTCGCATCTTTCTGTACATTAGGTAATTTCACATTTAGATGAAAAACAGATTAAGGTAATTGGTTACTTTTGTATACACAATTGTTTTACTTTTGAGTTTATTACAGTGTAAAAAAAAAAAGATTTATTTCAGTTACACACATTTCCAAGCACAGCTGTTTTGTTGCATATTTTGTTTTACATCAGGTTCCCATGCATTTTAAAAGGGTACTACTATTATTGTGGCAGTAGTGAAATTCAGTACACCTAAACATTTTTCCTATTTCTGTTAAGAGTTTGCCAAACTTACCAACAGCCTCATCACTCAGAGCTGTTGCACATCTCACAAAACCAAGGGGTATCTTCAGTCTGGATTTGTGCTGCTGTCATTCCATCTTGTACAAGTTCCACACTGAACCTACATAGGGATAAAAACATTAAACATATATAAAAAAGCTAACATTAGCAAATCACTAATGTAAAAATTGAGGTATACGAAGTAACCCAATCAGTTGACAAACAGTTTTATCATTATGGATTATGAAAAGCTGAAAAACACTTAATTCAATCATTATGCAACAGCTATATGCATAGTAAAATAAAGAGAAAGGATTACTTGCATATAACCAAGGAAAGA